AGCATGGATCACTCTGAACTGTTTGGGGCCGAGGGTGGCAGAGAAGCAGATTTCTATATGTTGATTTGGGATCTCACTTTAAAGCTTGAGATATCAGCTTAACTAAGACGGCCAGACTGCACTACCACAAATTGAGACGCTTCCAGCATTTCCTTAGACTATACCTGAAGCCAGAAGTATGGTGATGGAGCTAAACGCTGTGCTCACGGAATTCTATGGTTCCACCACGAATGAGGCACAGGCTGGGGCTGCTCTGCTCCTGAGATGGTAAAGATTAGAGAGCCAGCTGCATACATGCTCTGGGTGGAGGGCCTGACGTCGAGGGTGGCATAATGAATTTGATTACATCCTCCTCACCCTCGTGCTATAACTCAACAAACAGAACTCACTGCCATCATGCTGATTCCAACTCGCAGCGACTCTAAAGGACTGGGTCGAATGTTCCCTGTGGGTTTCTGAGATTATAACTCTTATGGGAGTAGGAAGCCTTGTCTTTCTTGCTGGTGGTTTTGAACAGCTGACCTTGGATGCTGTAACCCAACGCACAGCCACTATGCCACCAGGGCTCCTTCTCATGCCACAAAGGCAGGCAATTCAACAGCATGCCAACCAACTTCCTAGAATAAATATCAGAAGAGTCAAGAGAATTGCAGAAGCCCAACTTATTTCTTGGAAAAAATAAAATATACTTATACTTAATCCAGTATGGAAAAGAAATTTAATAATCTCCATCATTATATCAAGTCTTAGATGTAGCAAAATTTGCCTCGAGTGAATAATAGTTATTAGAAGAACGATGTAATTAGCAAGTGGCAGCAATGACACTCTGGCAAAGGGAGGGGGAGGTCAGTGGGAGTGACCTTCAAAGTTTCGGCAAATGGTCTGTTACAGAAAAGTGACCTTTGTAACCATGGCGCGATGGCTAAGGTTGTGTGTCAACTGGACTGGGCCGCAATGATTCTCAGTGGTTTGGCGGTTCTGATGCAGTCAGCCTCCCACAAAGAAAAGAATGTAATCACCTACGTGATGAGATCTGCAGAAAGGGCGTTTCCGCGGGGGTATGGCCTCCTTCCCAGGGAAGTGGACATTCTAGTAGCGCTCTCTTGCTTTTTGCTCTGTCTGGATCCTTCATCTGGCCCATCATCATCTCACTTCCGGTTCTTTGGACTTAAGCCAACAGACTGCCGTATTGCCTGCTGGTCTTATGATGTGTTAGCCTCTTCAGTCTGTGAGTTGATCTCAGATTTCTGGCTCTATGAGTTGGCAAAACCCCCATTTTAACATCTCACCCATGGGCTTGAGACGTGTCAACCTTACGAACCATGTGAGCCAGTTCCTTAAGATAAATCAATCTCTCCTTCCTCCCATCTTTACCTATCTATCGATCTTTATGTGTTTATTAAAAACATCATGGGGTTTGCTTCTCTAGAGAACCCAGCCTAAGACAAACTGCAATCGAGGGAGGAAAAATATTTGAGAGCTAGGTCTTGAAATGCTTGTGTGAAAAAACTATGCTGCTGAGTTATAGTCTTCTGTATACATCAGACCTAAGAAACCAAAACCATCAGAAACAGGAAAATCTACTTTTCCTTCTGACAGAATTCCCCAGGCTTAAAAAAACTTAAGCCAGGAAGCAGATTGATTTTCAAGGTCAACAAGAAGACACCTTCATCCATGTTGGTGGTCCGAACCACAGCACTCCACAATATGATAGCCCAGACAAGGCCAATGGGATGGGCAATGAAACACCAAGGTGAGCACTAGCTAACAGACCGCAAAGAGATCATTCAGTCACTCAACAAACACAGACTGAGCACCTACTGTGCACCAGCGCTCAACTCAGCGCCTGGGGTAATTGGTGAGACATTAGGGGAAGAAGGATCCTTGAGGAGATAGCAAGGAGAGAGAAAAACAAACCTGCTAAAACTTCATGGTTTTATTAGCATCGGGGCCGTTGAAACTCATCTGTCCTTGAGGCAAGCTAAAGAGGATGCCTGCTCAGTGTGGCAACGGCAGGGCAAAGCTTTAATCGAGAAATTGGCTGGTGCATATCTTGAGCAGAGAGCTCCGCAGCAGGACTACCCACTCTATCTTGGGTGAATCCACAATTTTCTATGCATACATGTGCCGAGGGGAGGTGGGAGTATGAGATACAATGGGTCTGGGGACCACAAGATGACATACCTGGGCGGGCAGGGCTCCGTGTTACAAGCCTGGCTCATAGCCGGGGGACGGTGGAGTGCATTGCACAGCGTGTCATTGACGGTTTGCTGGGTCTGGATGTGTATGCACACTGCTATCGCTTCTTGGTGGCCTGGAGGTTGGAAGTAGAAAATAACACAGTGAGGTAGATAAACTTGAGTGGGGTTGGACAGGGTTTTGGCTAAGCCATTGCCCTTTTAACTAAGTCACATGACTGCATTTCAGGGCCCACCTGGTAGCAAACAACTTTGCATTATCTTTAGTCTCCCAGTCTTTGGTGTCTCCTCACTCACCTTTTAAAGTTGACCCCTCTAACCAATCACCCCAAATCTGTTCACCCTGAAACAGTATCCCTAACTCCACGACCACCCTCAGGCTTGTCTGCATTTGAAATGTACTCACAGCTAGGAGTTCACCCCAATGAACCATCAAGGTATCCCTGCCACACATGTACAAGTGTTTCCCTAAAGGAATCAGATACAGAATACTACTTCATCCATGTCACTACATATATCCTAAATTTGTAGTACAGCCCTCCTTACAACTTTCAGTTCCAACTGACTATTATCATAGTGAATAATATGTTGGTGCCTGTAAGCCGCAATGAATAGCAATGTGAGATGTACAGAGTATTTTCAAATATATTACTTCGGTGACATCTGAGGTCAAAATAATGATACAATTAGCTCCATTTAATTAATTTAGTAGTGGTAAAAAGACAAAAGAACAACAACAACAACAACAACAACAAAACACCTGAGTTCTAAAGAGACCTCGGGACAGGAGAAAAGTGGTAGATTCAAAGCTTGAAAATCAATTTCTGGCTTTGAAGGTCAGTGATGTTTCTTTTCTTCTCATCCCTAGGGATTCCAAAACCCAAAGCAACCAGCTTCCCAAAGCAGTGAGTGTTCCTTGTTCAAACGTGAATTTCCGCACGCATATTTTCCCTTTGAGATCAGAGAGGTCTGTCTGACCCCAAGTCTATGTCCTTAACCACTGCTCTCTACTGACTGAAGCAAAAATAGTTTTGGGGGGAAATCACCTGGAGAAAACATAAATCAAAGTTTTGATGAAAAAATAATCAAATAAAACTCAAATAGCAACTGACTGTGCTGTGTGGAAATATGCAAATGTATTCGGTTTCATGCAAGAATGTACATTCCATTATGTGAAAAGGTTGTGGTTCTTTTTCCAAATGCCATGCTTTCACTCAACCGTTTTACAGTATTTTACAGCATATTAGCCAAAAGTGCAAATAAAATATGTATTTGTGATGTTTCCTTCTTTCTAGTAACTTTGGTCCTGCTACCTTGAGCTGCACTTTTGTGAGCATCGTGGAAGCATGTGGTCTGCCATCTACACGCACCCTCCGTCGGCTGCTCTGAGACAGACACACGGCTGCATCCCTGTGACACAGTAGGTCTGGCCCTCACCAGTAAACGTCCAAACTGCCTCAGAGTATGCTCCTGGTTATTTCAGAACATTTCCTAGAGACTGAATGCATGCCCTTTGAACCCCCACCATCGTCTCTGTGGAGCCCTGTGGGAAGCAATTTTACACTACTTGGGACTGTTCTACATTTCTCTGCCTTAAAACTAGTCTAGTAAAAATAGTTTCAAGTTCAATAGATGATTTAAGGATCATCACCAGGGTGAAAGCCAAAAACATCAAACCCTTGGCTGCCGAGTCAATGCCTACTCATGTATTAGAGTGGAGCTTTCTGGGTGGTGCACAGGATGAAGCGCTCAACCACTAACTGAAAGGGTGGAGGTTCTAACCCACCTTAAAAGACAAGTCTGGCGATCTACTTGTGAAGCGTGAAAACTGGGGCAGTCTTAGTCTGCACCCATGAGGTCACCATAAGTCAAAACGGACTTGACAGGAACTAACAACTACAACAACAATCCTTAAGGCACTGATTGTCCGCCTTTTCTTCTACAATGTCATTGGGTGGGTATGAACTGACAACTTCTGAGTTACCAGTTGAGTGCAAACTGTTTGCATCACCCAGGAACCTAACTACGGGGTGTACTGTATCTTCTAAAGAGGACTACAGCAATGTCCAGGTCCCAGCTGCTCATCGAATAGTAGGACTTTCAGAGTCCAGAGGTTTTGTCAAATATGAAAATCATAAATGTACTTCATCTTTGAGTTCATGACATTCAGGTCTTCATTGAAATGATGCATGTAGAAAATATGAAATAAATATCAAATTCTGATTTTTCTAATCACTTTATTGGACAGCATGAGACAGGATCCTTCATTTGATTTTTGGAACATAACCATTTAGATGGTAAGTGTCTTGTAAAAAAATATAAACAAAGCTTCCATCAAGAAGTGAATTAATGATTACAGAGTGAAAACACAACCTAAGAACCAGCAGATGAGTCGATAAGTGTACGAATCTGCTCTCTTCTTTTGGTTTAGGCTAGTGGGAGTTGGGTTTCTATCATTTACAAACAATCGTTTTGACTAAGCAGACACACCTAATTCAATGTGATGCATTGCTTTTTAGGATCTTTCTAGCCATAGTCTTATACTACCAAAAAAATTGGGTGGGTTTAGGCAAATAGGTGCTTGTGGCCCACAAAGGAGTTGGACAACTTGCTAATAATACAAATCAGGGGCATGGCACCTTTGTACGAGCGAGATCTGGTAAATAAAGTGTTTGGAACCCTAATGAGAAAATTGCTCAATTTTGCTATTCCACTAAGCTTAATTTGTCATCCCAGAGGTGCCAGGGAAGAAGCTGGCTCCCATCCAGGAGAAGAGATGGGAACAGTCCTTTGGACTCAGGGTCCCTGTGCTGGGAAGGTGCTAATGAAGAGAGCTGTAAGCAGGACATGGTGTAGGACAATGAGCTGCAGCAGCAGGTAAGTGGAAGCAGCAGAGGCAGCAGAAGGAGGTGGTACGGGGGCAGGGGGGGTAGGGGTGGGGTGGTTGGGTGGGGAGGGGGGGTTGGCTACTACCTCTATGGAGCCCAGAGCTGAGTGCCTTCTAGCAGAAGGCTTGGTGGCAGAACGGAGTGCCTTTGGGTCTCTGTTAGTGGAGTTAACAAGCTTTGTCAAGTGTTACAGAACTTTGTCACAGTTGCCCAATCAGGGCAGAATCTGGGCTGGTCCAAGATGCACGAGGGGCTACAGGGTTAGGATCAGAGAGAGCCTTGCTGAGAAGAGGTTCCCCTGCATCTTTCCTGACCCTAAATTAAACCCTGTTCCATCCCTAACCGATGCTGTAGCAGTGTGGATGTTCTCTGAGTTAAGGCGGCATTGCCATGGATGACGGAGCCCAGCAGGGAGGGAAGTAGTGTCCTAGGAGGGGTGGCTGGCATTAGAATTGGCTAAAAAAAAAAAAAGTTGGAGGGAAGAGTATTGCCTAGCCTTCCCTCTGCCTATCAGACTTGGCAGATACTGCAAATAATGATTCTCTCTCCTCCCCCTGTGAAGTTAGCCCAGGCAGTCGGAAGGCTCTGACAAACTGTACAGCTAGTGATATTCAGGCATCCCTAGGCATAACAATGGGGTCCCCATGTGTCAGGTTCAACGCCAGGGCAACTTAAAGTACTCAGCAGTTAAACAAACGATGGAGGTTCGAGTCCACCCAGAAGTGTGTTGTAAGAAAGGCCTGGCAACCTACTTCTGAAAAATCAGCCATTGAAATCCTCTAGAAAGTGAATGCAATAGCCACGCGTGAGAGTAACACACACTCTCTCACACACAGGTACACACAGTGTTAGAAAAACAGGTGACATGAACAAAAACCTGTGGACAGGGCCTTACAGAGCCACCAATGTTGACAATATCAAGTTGTGAAATAAAGGTGAAAAAGCGATGTGGAAAATAATATTATGGTGATTTAATAATCAAATAGCTTTGGACATTAAGAGTATATATAATGTCTCCTTTTCAAGAAGCTCTGGTAGAGCTGTGAGTTAAGCACTGGGCTACTAAGTGCAAGGTCAGTGGTTCAAACCCACGAGCCACTCCACAGAAGAAAGTTGAGACTGCTTCTGAAGCTTCAGTCTCCGAAGTCCTAACAAACAGCTCTACTCTGTTCTATAGGGTCACCGGGAAGCTTTACAGTCTCCGAAGTCCTAACGAGCGGTTCTACTCTGTTCTATAGGGTCACCAGGAAGCTTC